AACAGGTGTAGAAAGGAGGACGGGGCGGGAAAACCCCGAAAGAAAGTAAAAATAGAGCCCCATTGCTCCAACTTCGTGAGCTGAGTCACATACGGGGTAGGGTACCACTGCACCCCCCGAAGTCGTACTCGCAATGCAATGCCCCCCGCGCGCTCCGTTTCTCGCATATCGCCGCGGAAAAACTGGAAACAAGAAAATGTTGTCGCTGCCCCCCTCTTCTTGCCTGGTTGCTTTCCCACCGCATCATGCCATCCGCATTATTGCATCGTACTACCAGACTTCGGACTCGCCAAGATGGTTCCACTCGACTCTACGGAAGACGACACCTACGAGGTGTGGTTACGTGTGGGTGGGGTTTCGCACTTGAGAGTGTGCCCTGTGGTGAACAGGTGTTGGTTAGACGGTTCTCCGGTGTGTGTGATCTCGTGATGAGGTGTTGAATTGGGTCGCGAAGAGGTGTGCCCGTAACGTGCGATGAACGCGACGTTGGGTTCTGACGTGTGCTGCTTTAGCTTGGTCGGGTTTTGTGTTTGACTGAACCTGTTCCATGCCTTTTTTTCGTACATTGGGAGGCCTCCCGTTTGCGTAAGACGTCGGAATGAGCATGTTGCGTACACAAGCCATGGCACTAATAATAAGGGGATAGAGGAGGAGAACAGAAGGCAGACTGGGACCGGTTCGATATGTACACAGGCGGCAATATATCTGCAGGTTTGCTCTCTCAAATACTCCCTGCGAAGCGATGGAACGGAAACAGAACGCTTGCTCGGTTCTCGCCGTGTCACTCCTACCTCCCAACCTCCTCGTATCTGGCCTGCCTGCTAATCTGCGGAAGACCGCTCCTGAATGCTATTCTTCACGGTCCCGTCCCCACAATCGGCGCTTGTGCTAAGGTGCGCACCTCAACTCCACTTTAAAACATTTTGTGCCCTGGTTACGAACCATTACACCCACACGAGCCTCTCCTACGGTCCCGCCCACACACCAGCGACAGATGACTGGTGAGGTGGGGGTCGTACAGGTCCATGGCACCCGAACTCGTGAAGCACGAGCCGCAACGTTAAGGTGGACGTCTACAGCTGGGCTACCCTCAGCTGGGAGATTATGGCCATTGACAGGCCATACTTGGACATGAACGAGTCTTCTTTCGTCAACGTGAGAAAAAAGTGCCGGCATTTGGAACAGAGGGAGACTGGCCAGGTTGGCCAGGCGATTTCTCTTTTGTTGATGTACCGCTAGACGGTCCTTGCCTTGTTCCGAGTGTTCTTGTCCTTGATTGCATGTGCGACGGACGACAGCGACAGGAGGTTTCGGGATCAGCCGATCTAATCGGAGATGCCCCGAAGTGTGTTTGATGAGTTGATCATGGCGACGACAACAGAGAGAATGTGTTCGTGTGTGTGTGTTCTGATTGTTAGCACCGACCGCGCCAACTGGCTGACCAACGAAAAGACGTCAATCCCGGTGCGCTTGAATACACAAAATGCGTGTGTGTGTATTTCTTTTTAGCATTGGCCGCGCTAACCGTAACACCAATGAAGAGACGTTAGTCTCAGTGCGGTTGATGAAAACACAAAATGCTTCTAAAGGCCATAATCTGGGACCCTATGACCGACCGTCATGGGGGAGTCTACGCTACCCTCTGGGTGAAAGATGGATACCGCAGCAATAGCAGAAGAAAAATGTGTGTGAGAGAAAGAGAGAGACACGGACAGAGAAAGGCACGAAGAGAGACCGCGAAAGACATGTTCGTGCCGATCTAAAACGCACGCGTGCTCCCGCCCCCCCCCCCCCCCCCCCCCCCCCCCCCCCCCCCCCCCCCCCCCCCCCCCCCCCCCCCCCCCCCCC